GTTAGGTTCAACTAGTAAGGTCCTTTGTTTACTGATTATTATCATCATCATCATTTGGTACTGCCATGTGCAAAAATAAATGTGGAAATAAGAATTACTTTTATTGATGATGAAAATGTAATACATGATTTAAAATCAACCAAAAAAAGAAAAAAATGATTTTTCCCATCGAAATGGTGGGTTAGTGGTTCAACCATCCATGTCAAATGGATCAACACATGATGTTATTATTAAATAATAAAATACATAAAATTCTAGAAAATGTAAAAATTTGTAGATAATTTTGGGTACATTCTATAAATTATATATTCATCATACAAAAAAGTGTGATTAATGAGAATTTTTTTATTAATGATGAAAATAGGATAAAAAATAAAATGACCCCACTAACCAAATCAAATGGTTCAATGATTTAATTAGCTAGATCATTATAGGCAAGTGGTTTGGTAGGGATGCAAATAGATCAGATTGGATTTGAATCAGGGTATATTTGAATTCGATTCGATTCGAAGATCTAATTGGATCTCATAAATATTGATTCAAATTTGAATCCGATCAATATGTTGGATATCCGAATCTGGCACGACCTGATTTAATTTAAAAGTAATAATAAATTATTAAAAGGAAAAGAAAATATAATAATTGAAACAAAGAAAAAAAACATAAGTATTTTTTCAACTATTTTCATCATATAAGAAGTTTACAAAAATGCAATATAAATAACATTTATAATAAATAAAATATTATATATATATATATTTGACCATAATATTAAAAACCAATATTCAAACAATATATTGGAATTGCATTTCCTCTTGGTAAATAATTAATTTTTATTATCTCATAAATTAAATACTAAAAAATAAAAATATAGATTTTTTTTTATAAATTTTATAGAAAAAATTTGAACATGTATTAATATTATATATTCTTCATATTAAATAAAGACATGTTTGAAAAATAAGAATTATTGGTAGTAAAGATGGAAATGGCTAAAATACAAAGAAAAAAATGAATTAATGTCTTAATTATAATCTATTTTCCTAATTAAATAGGTTAATGGTTTAACTAGTAAGGTCATTTGGTTGCTGACTATTATCATTATCATCATTTGATATTGCCACGTGCAATGCGCGTACATTTTTACTAGTATGCATACATATCTATTATTGAGTTTCTGGAATTTTCTTTCACTAAAACCCCCACCCTCTTGAATTTAGTCCATCTTCATTGAGAGGGTTAAAAATGTAATTAAAAAAATACTATTAAGTACATTCAATTACCTCTCACTAAGTCTTACATTTAAGACATTAAATAAATTTCATTCTCTCTCTCATTGAATTTAACATTTATACTTTTGTTTTTCATCATTAAATTCTACTAATAAACCTAGAAATGAAACCATATTTCCCATCTAGGTGGTGGGTAAGTATTATAACCATTTGGATCAAATAGATAATTCAATGATGTTATAGATAAATAATACAAATTTAGACATATAAAAATATAAAAAAAATTATATAAATAAGGAAATTTTGAAAAAAAAATTGGGCACATTTTTATTATTATATACTTGCCATATTAAAAAAAAAATAAGTATGAAAAAATAGACATAATTTTATTAATGGTGGACTTAGAATATACAACTTAAAACCGATGAAAAATGAAATCATTTTCCTATCAAAAGGGTGGGTTAGTGGTTCAATGTTTTAGGACAAATGGGTTAATCCATGATGTATAACTAAAAAAATCAAAATTTTAAAATAGAATAATATAAAAAAAATATGAAACAATTTTGGACACATCTATAATATTATATGTTAATCATATAAACAAAAATAAGTGTGATAAATAATAAATATTTTATTAATAATATAAATAAAATACAAATTTTAAAATCAGTATAAAAATGAAACCATTTTCATAGCTAGATGGTAGGTCAACGGTCTAACCTTTCAGGTCAAATGGATCAATCTATGATGTCATAACTAAGTAATAATTATTAAAAGTATATATAGAGACTCGAAGAAAAGTATATGCTTTGTATAAAGAATTTTGATACATTTATATTGTTACATATTCATCATTTTAAATAAAAATAAATATGAAAATAAGAATTAGTTTTATTAATGATGAAAATGGAACACATGACTTAAAAATCAACCAAAAAAACAAAATGGTTTTTCCATCCAGGTGATGGGTTAGTGGCTCCACACATGATGTTATAATTAAATAATAAAATACATAAGAAGTTTTAGAAAACATAGAAATTTGTAGATAAATTTAAGCACATTTTATAATATTATATATTCATCATAGAAAAAAGTGTGATAAATGAGAATTATTTTAATTAATGATGAAAATGGGATAAAAATTAAGAAAAAAAGAGCATTAATGTACACATGACCCCATTAACCATGTCAAATGGCTTAATGATTTAATTAGCTAAGTCACTGTAGGCAAGTGGTTTGTTGGTAAATGGATCTATAATCTTGAATTTGATGGTGGATTGGTCAATCTAATCAATTTATTTGACAACAATATTAAAAACCAATATCCAAACAATATATTGGAATTGCATTTCCGTCTGATAAATAAGTAACTTTTATTAAGTCTTATATTTAGAGTATTAACTCTCACTCTCCCATGCTTTTTAAAATTAACCAAAAAATGGAACCATTCTTCCATCTTGGTGGAAAGCAAGCAAGTCAATCATTCGGGTCAAATGGATTAATCCATGATGTCACAATAAAATAAATAAGTTTTAAAGTAGAAATAAATAAAATAAAAAATATTGGGTACATCTCTAATGTTTTATATTAATCATATAAAATAAAAATAAGTGTGATAAATAATAATTAGTCTTACTACTACTAGAATGAAATATAGATTTAAAACCAATCCAAAAAAATTATTTTCGTGGTAGCGGGTCATCAATTCAACCTTTTAGAGTCAAATTTGTGAACCCTTGATATCATAATTAGATAAAAACTGAAAAAAGATAAAAAACACAAAAAAAAGCATTATGTAATAATACAGAAATTTTGTAAAAGAAATTATTTAGGTACTTATCTAATATTGCATATGAATCATATTAAAGAAAAATAAGAGTGATAAATAATAATTGGTTTATTAATGCTGGAAATGAAATATAAAATTTAAAAATAACCCAGAAATGAAATCATTTTCCTTGTGGCAAGTTAATGGTTCAACCTTTTGGATTATATCATTAATCCTTGATCTTATACTTAAATGAGAAAAATTAAAAATAGATAAATATAAAAATTATGAAAAATGTATAAAACTCTATAGAAAAACATTTGGACATGTCTGAAAAATTTTATACTAATTATATTAAAAATAAAACACGATAAACAAGAATTGTTTTCAACTATTTATTGATATACAAAATTTAAATCTAACCTAGAAGTGAAATTGTTTTCCTATTTGGTGTGATAGATCAATAATTCAACCTTTCAAGTCAAATGTGTCAACCCATGAAGTCAGAATTAAATAATAAATTAAAAGATAAAAACACAGTATATATTTATGTATGTATGTATTGTATGTATATTATATTGAAAACATTCAGGCACTCTAATATTTTATATTAATTAACCACATTAAAAAAATAAGTGCCACAAAGAATAATTGTTTTTATTGATGATAGAAATAAAATACAAATTTAAACAACCCAAAAATGGAATTGTTTTTCTATTTATTGGTAAGTCAACAATTCAACCATTTGAGTCAAATGTGTCAACCCTTAGTGTCATAATTAAATAATAATAAAAATTGAAAAAAAGATAAAAACACACAAAAGTATAAAATACAAAAATTTTATAAAAAACATTTGAGCACATTTATACTATTGTATATTCATCATATTAAACAAAAATCAATATGACAAAATAAGAATAATTTTTATAAACATAGAAATATAAAAAATATAGAAAAAATTTACTATCACCATCGTCATAAAGAATTGTCACATGCATACTTACTTGTTTATATAACAAATATCAAGACATGCCAAGTTTGGATTAGGTTGCCCAATGCATCAACCCTAATCCAACCCAAAGTAGGGGTTCATGTTTTAATCCAAACTTCAACCAACGTGACTTTTTTTTTTCAAGTTGGTTTCAAAATAATTAGACTTAAGTTGCACCCCATGCAAGATTTGAGTCTGGGAGTAGCTAGTTTGTGAAAAAATGCCAAAGGTTAGGTCCTTATCCATTTTGTTTAGGGTTGTAAGCAGATCAAATTCGAATCAGATCCTACTACATCTACATCCAATTCAAAATTTGATATGTTGGACTTGGATTGAATTTAGATTTAATCACATATGTCTTATTGTGGTTAAAATGATAAAAATTAAAAAATGAATTAATTTAAATTTATGCATGTGTAATAAATGAATTTAAATATAAAACATTAAATTTATAACAACAACAATAATGATGATAATTTTTAGTTGAACTTGAATTTTAATCAAATTGAACAGGTCCAATTACAAGTAACATCATAACCATAAAAACATTCAATTGAATAAATGATGAAAATCTGTAAAAATTACTTTCCCGAGGTCAACAAAATTTATCAATTTATTTTATGATGACAATGGAACAAGGTTGTCCACATGAGGATCCAATGCCTTTATTCCACTGGCAGATTTGCAAGGCTTGGTTTGATTTACATGAATTTTTTTAACACATTTTCTTATTTTCTTCTTTTTCCTTTAATATTTTCTTGTAATCATTTTAGTATAAATTAGTAAATTACTAATTTCCGGGTAAGCCTTAAATCTTTTTGATGTAGAGATCAGCCCATTTCATCATTTCGTTAGCCTTCCTGGTACAAAAGATCCCATTCTCAAAGAATCTGGTTTACAGGGAAAAAAGATTCCGATCCAATGTAGATTAGATAAGATCCGCGTCCCCGGGTAAGTCTTGATTGTCCTAACTCCATCGTTTTCCCGTTTCCTTTTCAGTATAAAACGCTGAAATTTCTGTCCCGTAGGGTTTCTCTTGTTTAGGGCTTTCTTTCTTCTCCATCCTAACCCTCGTCGCCGAGCTCTCTGAACCAGAAGCGGGGATGGTGAGTCTCTCTCTCTCTGTTATTACTATTGGGTTTATTTCAGTTTCTGATTGAATATCCGGGTTTGATATGCAGCCGTCCCACAAAACGTTCAGAATCAAGAAGAAGCTCGCGAAGAAGATGAGGCAGAACAGGCCCATCCCTCACTGGATCCGCATGAGGACCGACAACACTATTAGGTCCCCATCTCTTGATCTTTTCTTCTCTCTGCTCCTGTTTAATCTAATCGTGGGGACTCTTAAATCTTCAGCATTTCTCATGGTGCTTACTGATTTCTCTGTTTTCAGGTACAATGCGAAGCGCAGGCACTGGCGCCGCACAAAGCTAGGGTTTTGAGGTGGATGTGGGCTTCTATCCCCTTTTTAAGTCCCCTCTTTTTGTGCCGAATTAGGGTTATTAGTTGTTGCAAGTCACTCTTTCTGTATTTTGCACATTAATCAATTGGGAACTCCAGTGAGCTCACAGAACTGGAATTTTGATGACATTGATGTTTGAATCATGAGTTAGATTTTAATTTGTTTTCTCTTAATGGGATGAATATCTTTTCTTTGATCTGATATTGACCTTTAGTTTGTTTTTTATTTCTGCTATTCACAGGGACTCAACTTCCTGGGGAAGAGTCTGAGCTTAGAAGCTTTGATTTCTATATGTTGTTAATTCCATTGACATGCTTGACTATGAGAATATTGCTGCATATTTTAATATTTTTACTCTACCATTATGTTCTCCATAACAAAACCAGAAAACCCTGGAACAATATGATTTAAAGGGTTAAAGTAGCAGCCCATATGCTACCCTTTGGCAGTTTAATTTTGGAAAGCCTTCAAAATGTTGTTTTCTTATTTCCCCCTTGTGAGATTATCAATTTCCCATAATTGCATCTTCATTTCACCCATTATTCTTTGTGCCATTGCCACTGAGGGTCATGCACTCTTCTGGACATGATCTTAATTAATCCTGTCAATGTATCAAATGTTTTTCTGTTAATCACCAGAGCCTTTTCTTGGTTATTCAATATTGCCTCACCAATTGAAATACCCAACATTGTTGATTCTTTCCAATATTGAGTTTCAAGTTGTTTTGATAATCTAGTCTTTACTATTGGCTGGTTTTATTACAATTAGAGTAACTTGTATTTGTAACCGTCAAAGAACAATCTATCTATTCTGCACTTTTCAAATTATGTAACCTCGTGATTTCTGGCATACATGGTGTCATCTGAGTGAATAGACCAGAAAGTAACAAATATGGAGATAATGATTTTTAAATTCTAACACCTCCCCATGTCTTATAATAACTCTTTATAATATATTCAACTTCAACTCGGCGGATCAATTATTCAGTGGTTGCACCGTTTTGAACAGTTATTGACTTGAACTTGTACAGTTTGTGCTACAATGAATATCAGGTTCCAGTTCAATTCCAACTTCCAACTCTAGTACCCCATGACATCCAGCTGTAGCTTTGTTCTTGCATCTTACTGGGGTAAACAATTGGGGCTTTCTAGGGTTGATGTGGTTTATTGGTCCGTAGTTTGTCATTTCAATAGTAATTGTTTCCATCTTATGAATGGAGTGGTAATGTTTTGCCTTGTTTCCTTTAGTTATTCTGTTATTTCTAGTGTGATTCATCAGTTCTAACTAACCTTCATGTTTCCTGCCTTAAGAAAATGCATGAATACATTTATTATGTAAATTTTCGTTACAAACTTTCTGTGTGAAACCTTTTGCTTGGTCATTGGTAATCGCTGAGCAACCTCACTTGCTGAAAAGACCATTTTCAATGGTACCTGGAGTAGAGGTTTTTGCCATCTTTTCATTGATCGTCTATGGTAATGCCTACGCCCGATGGTATTTGCAACCGGCACGCCAAGATGCTGTTTCAGACTTGGGACGTCTTTTTTTGGGAAAATCTATTACACGGAAAAGATATGGTATGGACGACTATCGAAAGAGTTTTGACCAATCAAAACCCACTATATACCTGAATCATTATCACGTTTATTAGTCTAGTTTATTGGTCAGTTGTTTTTTCTAATCATATTTTTCCATATCATAGTGAACCCTCTTTTTTCCCTCCTTGGGTCTCCACGTTAATAGCCACTCCTTAGTGCTGTTTGGTATCGTTTGGTGTTGCATGGCAGTTGCAAGTTTTTTCTCCGTTTATTCATAGAAATTGGGCTCAGTTTGGAAGTACATAAATGCAAATACCTAGGGTGCAAATACATACATAATATAAAATATGAGGTTTTACACTCTACGTGTGGGTGCAACTTTGATGTGTTCCGGTCAAGTTCAAAGTTTCGATACAGCCCAATATGCCAAATTGGGTGTATCGGACTTTGTATCAACACTTTTCCCTCCCCTGAAACAGGTCTTGTCTGGAAACTCCTTATATTTCGTGTATTGGTGACCCACCAATGCGATATGCATGAAAATTGTTAAAATTTCATTATTCAAATTGGGTACCCTATTTGTACCCTAATAGAGTTAGAGTTCAGATTGTCACCCCACAGGTGGCTCACATCTCACTATCTCAGCATGTATTGGGAACATTTGTATTTGTCAGGGAAAATGTTTTCAATACACTGTTGGGATGTGCTGTGGAGCATGTGTGGGATGCTCATGCCAATTCTGAGTGAAAACAATTAAACCCAACTCTGGACTATGGTTTTAAAATAAGGATCCATTTGATTCATGGAAATAGGGATTTGGAATTGATATGGGATTTTGTTGGGTGAAATCTGAGTGATTTCCGTTTCTGGAGGAATGCCCAACTCTGGATCAAGGTTCAAAGTATCGATATGTATCGGCCAATATTGGCTGATACGTATCGTGCTAGTGGCTTCCTGATACGCCCCTACAGGGGGTGTATCAAGGTTCTGACTGATTCAGGGGGGTGGAGCTTTAAACTGCCCCCCTGAACCGGTTTGAAAAAAATAAAAAAAGGGTTAAAAACACTTGGTATCGCCTGATACGCCGGTCAGGGCATATCGGGCATATCGATATTTTGAACCTTGCTCTGGACCATGATTTTAAAATAAGGATCCATTTGGTTCATGGGAATAGGGTTTTGGAATTGAATTGGGAATGGTCAACTGTTTTGTTGGGTGAAATCTGAGTGTGATTTCCGTTTCTGGAGGAATGGCATTCCTCCATTTGAGGAATAAGAATCTCATTCTAGTTGATTCTGATGTCAATATTCCTGTTTAAATCAAACAGGCAGAGGGAAGACCATTCTAATTCTGGTTTTGTGGATTTTAATTCTAATCCCAACTACGAACCAAATGGTCTGATAATCTAAACCTTCTTCTAGGCATTCCAAAATAAATTTAACAAGGTTGAATGGTTGTACCGCTTGCCCTTTGGCACTAATAAACTTACGATACGACACCATTACAACAACGCTTAACAATATTAAACTTGACTATGGATATATCCTGATTCAAATATAAAACGTCGACGAAGAAAGTTTTTCCAATCTTATTTCTGGTGGAAAAGAAGAAAATTTCAGAAGCAACCAACTCCTGTCGGTCGATTTAAAGTCTTGTAGACCAAGGTACCACTTTCAAGTGCAGACTCTCATCCCTGCAACATCAAGGTACGGTTTAATTTTTTTAAAGACGTTTAGTTTATTCTTATGTTACACACAAGAAGATAGGTCAAAACAGAGATCGGCTATAGCTATCAGATCGAGTAGGAACCATTATTATGAAAATTTTGGATAGATTTGGAAAGGGTGCGCCAGGCCCGTGCAACAGTGAAACGCATGGGCGACGCATGAAGGCCCCAATAGCAAGCTACTATGATGGGCTTTCCCCCAGAAAAATTAATTTAATATCATGTGGGCCAATGGCCCACGTATCAGATATTAAACTGATAAGAACAGATACTACACTTGATCTTAGCCAAAAGGCCGAGAAAGGTATGATTGTTTCACTCTCTTCACTTGCATTTTATAACTCTAACTATCCTTGCAATGTTCCTCTACATTACCCATGTGGGACTAGAATCAATTTCCACTACTGCCATCAAAAGAAGCCATATCCAAATTTTGAGTTCCATAGTCCACACTACTACCACTGCAACTGTTAATGGCCCAACTAGATCATTCATCTAGTAGGACCCACTTCGAGTTCCATCCCACAAGGCTTTTCCCCGCATCAAAAGAATCTGGTGATTCCCTATACAGAATTCTTGGCAGACCTTTGTATCCTGAGTTCTGTTCCAGAAAGATCTTCTCCAGTTATGTTCTTCCCTTTCAATGGGTTAAGTTGCTTTTTGCCATAACATCTGTAGGTGGGTGTGGAGCTTATAGCAGTCACTCCAAGACTCAATTCTCTGTTTTCATTATCACAGCACCATCTCCATGTAAAAGCAATTGGATCAGCCTGAGGAATGTTGGGAAGGTAAAGAAACGGAACCGAAAAATCTGGTTTGAAGAAACGGGGGAGAACCCCGCTACATGCAAATATTTAATCTGACTAGAGAGCACAGAGCTTATCAAAGCAGAATTAAGGAAACTCAAAAAACCAGGTGGCTAGCTTTAAGGTAATAATTCCTGCTTTGCCAAAGAAATGCTGGCGCCCGCCGATTGCTAGAGAGGGGGACGAAGTGCCAAGACACCTGCTGAAAGCTAGACACTTCAAACCGTACGTATATCATCGAAATAACTTGGATCTCCACACGGACAATTGGATTTGAGTTTGGACTATTCGAAAACCAGTTGAAGAGAGTGATACAAGTCGAACTCGATGCGTATATTCGAGAGCTTTTAATCTTTGAACCAACCGGATTCCTAGCAGGCATAGCATAAGATTCAGTGAACAATTCCGATCTTGGAATATATAATCTTCAGACATAGCAGCCAAACAAAAAACCAGATGATACATAGGCAGCGTTTTGCCCAATTGGAAGACTCCAGTGCCCAGTGGCAAGGACTCCATTACAAACCTGTACAATACAGTAAAAAGCCAGATATATGCTTACAAGTACGATACCGTAAAAAAGAGAACTAAGCATTCGAGGAAAAGTAGTTTGAAAATAAAGATTTGTTCAGGGCTTCTCAGCACTGAGAAAGCCTTTCAAAAATAAGCGTATGCCGTTGAATGCGACGAGCACACGGTATTCTTTAGTAAAAGGCGAAAGAATGGTTCGCTCTGCGCTCACCACACGGCTCCGTGAAGAATAATGCAGTCTGAAGTAAAATCTTATATAAAATCTGTGGCCAATGAAGTTATCCTCTTACGTCCGATATGGGATTTAGGGAGGAGAGAATCGAATCAACTCTATCAACCGTGGACTTAGGCATTCAACATCCACTAAAGAAAAAAGTTTTCTTCTTCTTCTGGTATATAAAATGCACTTCCATTAAACCAGGTTAAGTCACTACCAATGGCAAATGATTCACAGCAGCACAGGTGTCTTTTATCAGGATCTACAATCGGCCAATCTGGGAGTGGGAGAGAGCCAAACCAACTCTGAAGAAGACTAATGGAACCCTTTGCTATAACTTGATGGGTAACGGAATTTGAGCATCTGTTCACAAAAGAAACACCACTTCTCTTTTACAAGAGAGAGACTCCCTGACTCAATAATCTACGGATCAGTTCAAAGCTATCCGACTCCAAGATACAATGCGAAGC